ATGTTGGCGTACTCGCTCAGGGCGAGATGTCAGTCGGAAGCGATCGCATCACATTTTGTGTTGCTTGTGGCAGTGACCTACACACTCTGTCAAATTGCACAGAGAATGCTGCAACCCGGGACCTGGTACTTCGAAGCGTCCAGATCATCAAGGAAAGTCTTCTTCGATATCCACGTCGAGTACCTTCACAAGAGGCTGAACCAATGGACGTTGACACCACAGATCATGTGAGTGTTGCATCCTCGGACCGACGACCCAAGGCCAAAGCCCGACCGCGACGCGGAGGCGAAGCCGTTCGGGGTGATGTGGTCTTGATCCGTTATGAGAACAAACACAATCTCTGCACGGATGTGGAGAATCGTCGGGGCCTAAATGATGCTTGTGGCGTACCACTGCAGGAATCGGGACCAGAGAATAGCCAGCGAGTGGTGGACATCATTGAGCAGCTTTCGGACCATCGCGACCGACGCCTACCTCAACGAGGAGACCGTCCTAGCTATGTGTACGACGAGAACACTCACAGCTACACCAATCCAGGCTATGAATCCATCGGCGGCGGAAGGCCAATCCGGTGCGGGATTCTCGACCTGATCCCAACCAAGGGTGCAAGCTTCATCAACAATCGGTGGGACATCGTGAACGAAGTTGTCCTTCGCAACATCACCCGTCAGCGCAGGTTGAATGCGGATTGGGCGCTATCATGCATCCAGTCTGACTTGCGCCACAGAATCGCCAGGCGCCCAGGCTCGGAGTGGCTTGACAACCGGTGCCAGGTGGCCTTCAACAGTGTCATCAAATGTGATGAAGGAGGGTGGGTGCTGATCGAAGACTTGGTGAGGCATGAGCCACTATGGACCCATGAAAGCAGACGCATCACCGAAGGGGTCTCAAGGACCGATGATCAACAGAAGAAGAGAGTGTACAATGAAAGACTTCAGCTATTGTTCCAGGGGAACATGATTGCAGCCACGAAACGCAACAAGGCCAAGATTCGGTTGCAGTTCCTGGGTGTGAGAGTGAAGGACCCCGGCACGGAAGTTCTTGGATCAGCAGGTTCGAACATGTTGGTATCAGTTCGGGACCAGATCGCGGAGATCCAGAGCAACGACCATTGCCGGCATGGCCAGAGGTACCTGAACCTATGCAACGGCTGGGTGAAGCCATGGGCAGTTCGGGCTACGAGTGGTCACTCTGCGCATTCAGATCCCCAGAACAACTTGCTTCAGTTGGACAAGAACAGGTTCGCAATATCTCCATCTATGACCCTCTTGCAACGTCTTGGAGGTGCGTTCCACGCTACGGCATGCCGCAACTTGGATTCCATTGTCACGCAAGGCATCATGCCTGGTTCGGAGGACCCCGACGGGGACTTCGACCATAGGCGCCAATTCCGAGGCAACCAAGGCGGCAGACTCCACAGCTATTGGGGGGTGTTTGCGCCGTTCGATCACCGGAACGCAACGACCAAGATGCGAGTACACGGACGAGACGCCAAGCACATGCCACTGGCGGTACTTCATGTCCCATCGCAAGATCTTGCACGAGAAGATGGACGTATCACAGACAGCGGCATCATGATCGTTGGTCGAACGATACCTTTCCATTTCGTCAAGGAGGTATGGTTTTGCGTCCCTGATCCTCGAGATACACACTCTTTCGCTCTGGTGGAAAAGATCTACGATGAAAGGTTGGAGAAAGAGCTGGTGTTGGACTACAATGCATCACCGTTGCTTCCCGAGTTCGAGAGATACCGAACGCCAAGCAAGATCATGGAATTGCTTTGCGAGATGCCTCCTGGACCCCACGACACAAGCAAGGAGCAGATCATTCGTGACCTCACAACTGTCCTGGAGTCCCACAGGGAGAACACGGTTCGGCATCACTACATGGACAAAGGAATCAAGTTTGTCATCAAGAATTGGCGACCCGAAGACCTACGCAGAGACGAGGATGGACGGAGAATGAGGGTATGCCCGGCATGCTACAACATCGTTCCAGCATGTTTCTCCCGATGCACGTCTTGCTGGTCACAGTTCATTTCGAGCGGATATTACCAAGGTTCTCCACAACGGGAGACTCCTACGGAGATCCCCAGTGACTTCATTGCTCAGACAATGGAAGCCGCAGCAGCCGCAGTGCCTGAGGCGCCCGAAGAGGAGCAGGAAGCCATGGAGGTAGAGACCGTTGCGGAACCTGAAGAAATCCCAGAACCATCTGTCGTTGCGGAAGACGATCCAGAACAGGAACCTGATGAAGAAATGGACGTTGAGCCTGAAGAGGACTTTGATGACGCAGTTCCAGAAGCAATCGCACAGGAACGTCGTCCCGTCTTCATTACCGGCCAGTCTTTGAACATCGATCCTGAGCTGCAACTTGCACGTACCGCCATGCAGCCATCTTACTATTCTGGAAAGCGGAATGCCCATTGCATTGACGCGAACATGACCGCTCTGTCGTACATGGCATACGTGGTATGCCGATCCATCTACAAAGCCTGGTCAGGATTCGCAAAGTGGGCGACTATGCCGTTGTTTCAGATGAAGGAAAGTTTCGCACTTGGCCAACGCTATGATGTGCTTGGAAAGTGGGGATCTTTGGCGGCAGTGGATAAGGAAACAGGCGTGAGCAGGGACGTGACTGATGAGGAGATCATTCGCTTTGCCAAGGAACCTGAGAACCTCAAACAGTATGATCCCAACGGGACTTACACCTTAAAGCGCTTCCGGACGAACCAGATGCTTTCTTTACTTGTACGTGGAGCCAACATGATGGGAATTGGAAGGGACAACTTCAGCCCTACTACTTACTTGAAGAGCGACAGGGATGAAGATGTAAAGGCAATGCACTTTTGTTGCCTGAACGTCCTATGCGAGGTGATCCCAATGGTGACGGGACACCAACAATTCTCAGTGCTACGACCAACGCCAACTGGAACAGTGGACTTCTTGTACATCGACCCCGTCGGTATTCTGCTGACTCATTCTGATCAGTCAGTCCAGACCATCGCTTTGTTGGTGGACCACAGTGTGCAAATGCCTGCGCATTTCATGGACAGATTGAACAGATCCAAGACTGAGAGACAGCAAAACCCGACGACAAGGCGTACGGAAGCCCTACATCACATTTCGGCCGCTGACTATCTTCCTCCAGGTGGTACTTCCATCCTGGACACGCCTGTCACTACGGAGGAACGTGAAAGCGCTTCTTCATCCAAGGGACCTTCAAAAGGGCGTGGAAGAACCGGAGGCGAGCAACATGGTGGCTGGAACACCAATTCCTACCACGACTACATCGCCGCCAAAGGCCGAAACAAAGGCAAGGACAAAGGAAAGCCAAGGAACCAGTATCCAGAGGAGAACCTCCGGCCCTGGGAACGCGATCCTACGTCAACGCGAAGATGGTGGCGAGACAACGCCTGATCTTCCTCGCCTATCAGTTCGTGACCTCTGAGCTTCGCCCGTGGAATGCCATCGCGAATGCTTCTTTCTTCGGTGACGCCTGATTCGTTTGTCATTTCAGGGGATCGTTACTGACGTAGATGAGTGTCACAACGTTTCTAATTGGGACACAAAGCTCTGATTTTCAATGTCAATGTTGCGGCGGAATTTTCTTCTGTCCTATCGTGCCATCTTCCGGGTGAGCAGCGTCGGAGACGCAACTCATGGGGGGTGCGAACGGACTGCGATGCCTTGTCAAGTTCTAAGGTGTCACTATAAGAGCTGTGAGCAAGACCGTGTAAAGTGCAAGAGAGAAGGGGGCATGCTACGTCCCTCGACTCTAGGGGGCATGCTACGCATCCCTCGTCTTTACCTTGTGACCGCCAACGCAACGTTTGGCTCAAGTCAATGCCCATAGCTAAGTGCTATATGTGTCTTCTATCCTGAGCAATCAGAGCTATCCCGTTGCACAGACGAACCGCCGCCGGCAGTGAGTGCAAAAGGAACGGCCGCCGGTTCTGCCTGCATAGGATCGCACGTGTGGGAGTAAGAGGGAGAGACAGGGTCCAGTCTGTGGAGAGTGCTAGCCAGCCACACCTACATTCATTACAGCTCTGGTGGGGAGAGCAGCAACCAAGTCGAGATCAATCCCCCACGCATATTCGTACTAAGCTTTATAGAAGTGTAATATTAGTAGTAATGCTGGTATTAGCTTGAGCATTCAACAAATGATCAATGTCAGTATGTCCAATGGCAATACTATATGTAGGAGTATCAATACATATATGTATATATAGATATACAGATAGATAGAGAGATATTCGTGTAAATATGGGCATGAGTATTGACAGCCCTTGCCTTTGCAAGTAATCTGGTCCGATGCGGAGACTAGCACGACAAGGCGCGCGGGTGTCCTACCAAGAAAGGAATTACAGAGCACACGTGTATGGATGAGGGTTGTGCTGATACACTACATAGTAAGCACTACACAGTAATCTTACTTGAGTCATATATAGAACAGATTCCAGCATTTCCAAAATTTCCAAAATTTCCAAAATTCTCTCCCCTAACTTTCCAAAATTTCCAAAATTTCCAAAATTTCCAAAATTTCCAAAATTTCCAAAATTTCCAAAATTTCCCAAATTTCCCGACCTAGTCGACAGGATTTTTCCAAAACATAAGGGCGGACTTTTTGGAAATTTTGGAAATTTTGGAAATTTCGGAAATTTTGGAAATTTTGGAAATTTTGGAAATTTTGGAAATTTTGGAAATTTTGGAAATCCGGAAAGTTAGGGGAGAGAATTTTGGAAATTTTGGAATTGAGGCTTTGAAAGCTGAGTGCCCCCTCCCCCCGATCACAGACCATGCACTACGACTGAGTCGAAAGGGCATGGTCTGTCATGGGGGGGGGGTGACCATATATATATATATATATATATATATGGTATATACACACATGTATAGACATACGCGTGTGTATATACACAGCCAGGTATTTAGATATGCATATATATATATATATGTATAAGGTATTGGAATGACTGTCAAGTCCTATCCGTGCAGGTCAACGTTTCCAGTTTTGCACACGCCTCGCCCGCCTTGCGTGGAAATCGCCACTTGGTCGAGGCCACAGTTTGTGGTTGGGTTCTTCTTCTTCGGCCCGTAAGTTAGATGTCCAAGCTGACTTGAGAGGTGTGGATTTGTGTTGAGCTTCCCCAAGACGACAGGAAGCTGTTCGCTGTCGGCCGTCTTCGCTAGCTCACGCTGGCGAACTCCGCGAAGATCGTCCGGGCCCGAGAGGTGTCAGAATTTGCTTCATGATTGAGCTTTCAACAGAAGGCTCATGTCCGGAATTGTGATTCAATAGTTGACCTGCGGACGGGATCCACAACAACAGCATGTCCAGGAGTTCTGTTTAATGGCTTTTTCCAGTCGGGTCGAGGTGTCACCTAAACACCTTTGCGATTTCGTCTGTCGTACTTCTGCTCTTTTGCGCAGAGCGCGCTGCTGCCGACTGGAATGAATCTCTTGCCTCGTCCAGCGGAAGTCTGCACTCAACTTCCCCCGCAGCCTAGAGAATTGTGATGTGGATTCGTGCCCAAACTTTCAGATGTCAGGCTAGAACACCAGAGCTTCCAACAGCAACCCCAAGAACCCCCCTTCTCGCCGCTCCGAGCCAGGCGACATCGTCCTCGCGGCCGTGGACACCTCGGGCTTCGCTTTGCAGTTCGCGTCGCCGAGGCTGCAGCTTGCAACCTTGCAATGTGGTGGTTGCTCGAAAACGAAGTAGACCTTGTTAACAACCTTCCTCAAAAGGGTCATGATACTAGGGGTTGTGCTGTTTGGGATGTACGTTAGGGTTCGCTAGAAGCTTTCAAATATCATAGTAGTGACTTAGTTTTGGCGGATTTCGGAACCTGTGGTTATGTAGCGAAATGCAGAGCCGCGTCGGCAACGTACACTGACACGCAGCCGCTTATCGTATAGCACTGTATAGTGTGCCGTATCAGTACATCGAAATAGCAGCAGTTTCTAGCATCATTCAACAAAATGTTGCAAAACATGCAACTGCAGAGACAGAGGGAGAGAGGGAGGACTGCTCCCGCTCCAAGCCCCTAGCAAAGCAAAGAGAGAGACAGAGCGAGAGATAGATACATACGTACATACATACATACATACATGTTACATACATACATGTGAGTATGTACATACATACATACATACGTACATACATTTTCCAGCATTTCCATGCAGTCAGTGGAGTATGCAGCCAAATTAGCGGGTGCAGCTGACTCTCGAAAACGAGCAAAAGGCCTCGCGAGAGCATGACGACAGAAGCAATCTGGTGCGTGCAACAGAGTCTATAACAGGAGCTTGTAGTCTCGGACGACGGCGCAAGACTCAGTTGCGATGTTGTTGCCATGCAGCTTCCCTCAACCATCCAAAGAGAAAGCCTCGCGTTGCCGGGTCCCGTTATCATCTCCGGGATGTTCAGGTTGTCCCAGTCTCGTGCGTCGAGGGCATCCTTGAACTCCTTGTCCTTGTAGGTAGAAAGTTTGGCCTTCGCTATCGGCTCTGTGGTCTTGGGGGGTTGGAAGTCTTCCGTCTGGGCAAGAGCCGATTTGATGTGCACATACTGTTCCTTAGTCCGCTGTGCCGGCACCTTGTCCCCGTGGATTTCGTCAACCTCGGTGCCAATGCGGCGCAGGACTGCCATGCTCTCTTCAGAGTAAGGGGGGCTGGCTGTGATCTCTGAGAGCTTGTTGCCAAGCTCAGAGTTGATGTCCGTCGCATCCTCGACAATGAGGGCATCAGAGATCTCCTCGCATGTTCTCCTGTCGACAGACAGGAGTGAACTCCCTGGATAACTGCCGGGGTGATCTTTTCATGCTCATCCTTTCTCCGCCCCTTGCTGCCGTATCCCGGTATCGCAGCCCGAACTTCTGGGCGTAGTCATCAGCCGCATCCATTGGGGCTAAGGCTAGGGCCAGTTGGTCTCCTCGTGATTACCAGCCAGGCAAGGTCCTGGCGGAGCTGCTCAGACAGCGAACCTCAGTTTGTATCATCGCCCGCAATACTGCAAACTGAGACGGCTTCGTCGCGCCACGAAGTGCCGCATGGACAACGGAGTTCGGAAAAGATTCTGGACCTCCACTTGTCGGCTGAGGACATGAATACGCTGAGGTTGGTCCACTGCGGAGTTGTGGGAGCGCACATGCCCAGGTTAAACACCGTCGGTGTCACCGTGGCCTCGAAAATTTGCCACGAGTATCGATGGGGATAGTCGGATTCTGTAGAAAAGGAGGGCTTTGGCGGCCAGTTGGCTGAGGCTCCTCGTAGGCGAGGCCGCCACTGTCAATGGAGCCCTTATGGTCCTTAATAGTGGGTATTGGGGTTGCATTAGAGGGTAGTTGGGGTCTCTTGGCAATAGGGAATCCGTGCGGACATCGGCTAAGGATGTTGACCATTCTTCAACCTCTACAGCTCAGGCTGTGTGGATATTGACCTCGACTTCCCCACTCCGGACGAGTCAAGCTGGAAACCCAATGCCCTGAACGCCACTAAACAAACTCAACATCATCTGAAGCCTTTTGTTTGGCCTGTAACCCTTAATGTAGAGGTTAGTCGGTATCTCAACTCGCTGGCCACGCCCGTAGTTGGGTCCAGCATACCGCCTACGATTGTAGAACCGGTATGCTTTCCTGCAAATCATGCAGCCTGAGCATTGGAGCCCCCGTAGAGAAGTATCGTCGGCAGGCTTGCCTTGCTCCCGGGTCCCACACCCGACAAACACACACATGAACGCAGCAAACTGCTGGTTTGGTTGCGCTTCAAGTTGGGCGCAACACCACGTGAGCCGAAGGTGCTCGCCACCGACGAAATCCTCGCCGTAGTTTCCGGCAGCTCAGGGGCCGACGGCGTCTGGACGCGGTAGGCCGACGGCGATAGATGCCGCTGGCCAGGTCCCATTGGAGTTTGGACATCCCCGAGCCGTCCAGGCATTTATGGATCCTCGAAAGCACCTTCGTAAGAATGAGGGAGAAGATCGTGCCGGCCCAGGCCTCTCCAGGCCTGGGGCCTGCCTTGGACTGGCACAACCATTCACCGTTCGCATACTGTGACAGGAAGCATGTACCGGCATGGAAGTCGCACGTAGCTCGGCGAATGGGTGCCGGAACGCCAGCTTGGCATGGAACTCCGCCGCCGGTGATAGTCTCCATCATCTCCTTCAGGTCCTCGGCGTCCAAACCAAATCGGACAAACAACTTTATGACCTCAGTGTCGTTTGTTATCTATCCACGGGCCAGCTCCCGAAGTGTTGAGCTTGTTGACTTTGCAGTGATGGAAGTTGGAGGCTATGAAGATGGCCGGGAACATTACTGGAGTAGCAGCCTTTTTTGGAGCCCTATCTGCCGCCGGAGTAGCAGGTCTGCACCCATAATGCATACGGTGGAGGCTGTCGACCACGTGGCTTTGGATATGAAGAGTGAGGGGTGCGAGTCGACTTGATTCTCCGGGCCGCCGCCCTTGAACGCCTCAAATAGCACGCCCCCTCTCCACTGGACGGGCTGAGAGCCTGAGAGAAGGCTCTTGATGTACAGCGGGTATCAAACTTGCCAGCTGTTCCGAGCAAGCTGACATCAAATCAGACGGGAGTCCATCCAGCCTTGCTGCTTTGCCCTTGGGTACTTGGCGTAGGGGTCGGGCCACATCCTCAATGCTGGGGAGTAGGTCCGGTGTTCATGGCTCCCCATCTTCATCGACCCGGTTTGGCGACTCCCCCAGGAACTGCTTGACCGTCATGATCTCGTCCTGTTCCTGCTCGCCGAAGAAGTCAAGACAAATCCAGTCTCGATCTGCCCTCTCGCACATACATGCATGCATACATACATAAAGACCAGATAGATGGATGGATGAATGCATGGATGCATGGATGCATATAGAGTAATTGAGCCGTATTGCGGACTTGTAGCGATGCGCGGGAAGTGCATAGAAACATTTAGGAGTAGATAGTGGTATGTAGCAAATATTCAGTACCATGTCGTGCTATATGGAAAACGACAACTGATAGCAGTGTGCAGTGTTTTACAGAGCCCACTAGAAAGGCACTAAATCGAGGACGTGGATGTAGTACTGCATTTACATGCATAGTGACATGTAGAAACGCACCACATGTTAAACATAAGAACATCTTGTGAGTTGGCTATGTGCAGCAGCAAGCCGTTAATGGTCCTCGGTAGATGGGGAGACACGGTCATCAATAGAATTGTGCAAGCAAGTCGGACGGTCAGCATGCGGTCTAGGATTTAAGCAGCTCAAGGTGCCACAACGGAGAACAGGAGAAGCTGGCAATTTTAATGGTTTTGAGACATGCAGTGTCTTAAAAGCCAAGCGCTGTGTCTGCACGGCATGCGTGCAGCACATTTTGGCGCTTTTTGCTGGTGTCAGTGATTTTATCAACAGCCTTGGCCGTGAAACTAGGAGCAGCGTCACGCACCGTGGTGCGCTGCAGTCTTCGATCAGTACCTGCTCGCTTTTCCCTGTGCTCAGGCTGCGAGCAGATCCCGAGGCTGCGCTTCCCAGATGTGGAGAGCCCCTTTTCTCCTCTCGATGGAATGGTTTGAGATGTCTTGTGCAAACCACATTGGCCTTCAGGTCGTTCGTCGGTCGGTTGCGCGAGATGCTGACTCGTTGGCATTCGCGGATCCGAAGCTGCAGGGCGACAAGTCATTGGTATTGGAGGTGCAGGGAGGGCTGGGCATGGTCTACTAATTACCTTGACTTGTGGCGAGGGTTCGTGGATGACGCGGTTCAGGAAGATCGGACACGTTTTCTTAATGTGCAAAGATACCAGCATGAAGATGATGGATGGCACTGGTGAGGATGGTGATGATGATGCGAATGCGGATTCAAATTCTGATGCGGGTCACGGTAGTGGTGGTGAGGATGATGCTGATATCCGACGACAAAGACGACGGCCACTGCTCGCACTACATAGTCAGAAACCGATCATGACAATGGTCGCCATCGTCGTCATCATCATCATGATCATCGTGATCACCAGGATCCTCATGGTCATCATCATCATCATCATCATCATCACCTCATCATCATCATCATCATCATGACCATCGTCATCGCACCATCATCACCATCAGCAGCATCATCTTCATCATCAGCCTGAGCAACATGGCCACGGCGAAGTTGTATCTAGATTCCGGTTGTCGAGCCGAAGCAGTAGAAAACAGCAACAGGGCTCCCGGGGCTAAAAGTCTGCAGCAAGCAAGCAGTCCCAAAACGTGGTTTCGAATTGATACCTGGGTTCACAGACGAGAACAAAGCACAGTCAAGCTTAGCAAATCCTCAACCAGAGCCCCAGCGAAGCCTCAAACTTTGGAAGGCCGTCAGGGCTTGTCCGAGCACATTGGAGTTTGCATCGCCTGAGTTAAGGCGTGACAAGGCCTCCCGGCAGTTTGATGGCAAGTTTCGATTTAGCAATGCTTCAGGAGTCGGAGCCAGGTGGTATCCTGATAAAGAACTGCAGTATAGCTGTGCTGCTACAGCGCGAGCTGGTAGACCTCATGGCTCCGGAAGGCAGCATGGTAGTTACTTGCTGTGCAGACGGTTCATGGCCTCGACTCTTGAGTTCGTTGACTGTGGGTTGGTGCTGGAGGGGTTTGTTGCTCCGGAGCAGTGGTTCTGAAGGACGTGGTTCTCGAAGCTGTGTCGCGTTGCGGCTTCGTCCACGGCTCAGTGATGCCAACTGAGCTTTCTTTGTCCACTGAAGTTGCGGGCAGAAGCGCTGCTGGCAGGGGAAGGGGAGACAAAGCTTGTGATCACGGACATTTCCCAAACAAGCATCCACGGGTCCAGGGAGTAATGCTTTTGGCCTGTCCCTGCTGGTGCAGCAGAGCTTGGTGATTTACCCGGAACGCTACAGGTTGCAGAAGAGCTGTACCTTGCGTCTGTTAGACTAAGTGTGTCGTGCCGATGTTGGTCTTTCAACTGCGGCGCACTATCCCTCGACTTCTCGAGTCGATTGGCGCTTAAGCCATCCTTGGGTTCTCATTCGACGTCCTTGCAGAGACTTAGCATGTTTTTTCGCTGCAAGCAAGGCCCTGAAGCATGCAGCGCCTGAGCGGTGTGACGACGAGGCGCCGCCCCAGTTTAAACCCGGTGCTGCCAGTTGTGCCTGGCATCTGCTGGCAAAAAACCCAAAGTCAAGCTCCAACCTCAGACCTCCCGAGCCCCAGTGCCTCCAACTCCAAGCATTCTGATTGTAATATGCATCCTGGATGTTTGATTGCAAAATGAGAAGACTCAGCTGCCGCCAAGCACAGTGCTGAGTTATACACATCCCTTTCTCTTGCTCTATCGCATCCCTCTCTCCCTGCCTCCCTTCCTCCCTCCCTCCCCCTCCTTATGCGCATATATACATGCATGCATACATGCGTGTACCTTTGAAAGCAAATGTAGGTTCCGTAAATTCCTAAGTTCCCCCACTTCCATACGCCGTGAGCCACACTATTGACTTTTCCTTGTGTTGTATTCCCCTGAATTCCTCGGTTTCAAAGCCCCTAGTTCCTCCACCCATTTCCTGAATTTAGACAAATGCCGTGTCATTTCTCAGATACGAGCTTGGGGACTAGGTAAATATAACAATGTAATGTGACGGATGGTGTATGGACTGGGGGTTTTTGACTTAGGCCAAAGATAGTCCCGCGCATGGCGTATGGACCGGGGAATAAGTGTATGACCCATCCGAGCGCATTGCCCGATGTTCAGGACATGGGCGAGGAATCAGTTCTGGTATGGTGGTTCACAGAATCCAGTTCAGTGATTGCGAGATGTGTGTGTGAGTGTGTGTGTGAGTGAGAGTGTGTGTGTGTGTGTGTGTGCGTGTTTGTGTTTGTGTCTCGGTCTGCGCGTGTCTGTGTCTGTGCGCGTGCGTGGGATGTGATGTGTGTGCGAAAGAGGACGTCATCCTGGCAGCCATCCGCCACAGTGCTTCGACGCTGCGCCGAGCCTCCTCGCGGCTTCGCTCTTCGGCAGGGTTCGCCGCCTCCTGAGGAGGATTCCTGTGCAGCGTGTAGAAGCCTCACGGACAAGTTTGTTGGCACAGACACACATAACTTTGGTGGGAGAGGAAGAGTAGGCCTGAGTAGGCACGTTGTTTCTTGTTGTTCTACTGACATTCATGATGGAGAACGTGCAGTTTTCAATGCAGCGTTCAGAACAACTATGCATCGTATCAGTCGTCAGATTCGGGCTTCAGGATTTGTGTCTTGCGGTGCGACTTCAGGGTTTGAGTTGCAAGGATTTTTTCGGCGGTTTTATCACGTCTTAGACTCTGAGGTGCTCGAGGCTTTGGCTCTCAACCCGGGAGTCCTCTTCCACGCGGAGGAGGTCTTGCGGAACAGCAAGGCCCGGCGCCTGAGCCATGCAAGTGCTTCTGTGAATCTATATACACATATATATATACACACTTTATATGTATTCATAATTAACTCTATATATATATATGTATAATCAAAATAATAGTATATAAGCTAACAAATGTTTTTGGGATGTGATGTTGCCGCAGGCGCTAAATGGACTTGACAGTCCAAAAAGTGCAGTGCAGCTACATCGACGGAGCCAGGATGCTGTAGTGTTCGATGCATTCTCCACTCGGTAACCTGACATAGAGCTTGGCACCCGGAGCCCGATTCCATTCAGCAAAGAAGCAAACGGCAGGACTTCGCACTGAAAGCCGTGCAAAGACGCGGCGATTCTCTGAGGTGCGGAGAATGGGTCGTTGGGTGTGTTTGGGACTGGGTCCGGACCGAAGGACAGGAATCATGTTCAAGCCGCAGGGCAGCTTGTATCGTCTTCTTTCGTCCACTCAAAGCCCGCGGTGTTTCTCTGAACCCGCAACTCTACACCCCGGTCCGCCAAAGGGCTCAGATACTCCGTCAAGCTTTGGCCTCGGAGCTCAGGTGCCTCCACGAGAAGTTCCGCAACGACAAGGAGGTCGTGATGTTGCTCGGCCTGCGATGGGGTCACAGCCTGCATCACGAAGCTCTGAAGCACAAGATCGGGCAAACTCTGAGTCCCAGTTAGTGTCAGTATTTATACTGTAGCCGATTGTCAATGCTCCAGCCGCAACGATTAGCGGTTAGCGGCTTAGCGCTTCCAGGGCCTAGAGGTGGAAAACAGAAGCCAAGTCCTCTGGCACATCCCGCGGATGTCAGTGCTGCCCGACCTCCAACCTACAGAGAGTCCGGGCAATCAAAGCCTGAAGTTCATATATATATATATATTCATATATTATATATATATATATATATTCATATATTATATATATATATACATAAAGATATATTCATAACCATAATATATGCTGTAAGCTAAGACATATTTTTGTTACATCTCACATCTGTTTCTTAGGCTGGCGGTGCGCGAGTCTGGTCACACGCTCGCCTTCGCTTCGGAGGGCCTCAAGGACTTGGGGGCGGCAGGGGAAGTCGGAGCGGGAAACCGAACCCTGGGATTCGACTCTTCGTGTCATTCGACTTCCTGAGTCTTTGTTGGGCTCTTCGGATTCTTTCGAAGAGGGGCTCTACCTCCACTCGATCCAGAAAAGGGATGGCATGCTCACGACGATGCTGCAGCTGCATCATGATGCTGATGCTCACGAGCTGCTACTCATGATAATGTTTAATGATCATGACAATGGTGTTTCTGGTGATGGTGTTGTTCTTGTTACTCTTGTGGCAAGGCAGTCTTGTCTTCTTTGCTTCTCCATCGCTATTCTCAACTCTGTTGTCTGTTATCTCGATGCGAAAGATGCTGCTGATGCATCCTACAGTTGCAGACGAGCTCAGCGTCGGAATTGTCAGCTGCAGCTGTAGGGTCAGGCGTGCCTGTGTCAGCATGACATGATGGCATGTTCTCATTATCCTCCCCCGCCCTCGTCGTGTTCATCCTTCAGGTCCTTAGCATCATCATGACCATGATCAGTCGTCATTGTTATCACCATCCTCATCCATGCCCATGCTCATCCTTATGCCATTCTCTCCCATCAGCCTCGCCATCCTCCCTCTGCCCCTCGTCCGTATATCCTCGGCTTGTTTTGACCAGTGCGATCAGCACCAAGTGATGTTGGCGCAACTTGCCAGGATGACAGGGAAGTTGTGTTAGCGGCAATTGGCGTGTGCGGATCAGCTCTGCCCCCAGCATGAGATGAGTGCGGATTTGCTGCCGAGTCTTTGTGATAGCGGGAAGCCTTCCTCCAGCATCCTACAGCATCTGTCGGACAGCTTCTCTTGGATCGCCTTGTCTGTTCTGTTCCATGAGTCGTGTTTCTTCAGCAGGTCTACTTGTGAGTGCATCGGTTTTGATTTCCTCGGACGGTCTGTGAGCGCTTGGGGTGAGGGCTTGGAGCGCTCGCAGCTCGCATGCTCAATTTGCAAAAAATACAAAACACATCACCAAGACCCCGGCCGGACCATTCTGAACCTGCCCTCAGTTGGCGAACGTTCTTCTTCCCAAACGGAGGGATGCCGGGCTTTCGCCGTCTTCCGCCAGGCTCTCGTCCATGCGTCCCATAGGCTCCGAGCAGAACGCGCCGTGGTACTGGCAGCGGTGAGTGTGGCTCTCAGAGATTCCGATGACTCTGGCAAACCTTTGTGTATGAGATGGTGCTGTGGTGTGAAGGCCTGACGGCCGACAGCTGCTGTTGCAGTCATCCCACTTCCCCGAAAGCTGATACCTACGTGGTGTATCGAAGACTTTTCCGCCACTTGCTACTGAGCTGGTGTGGCTCCATGGGCTGTCAATGCTTCCTTTTTCATGCATGCACCGTTGTCGTCGCCTCGTCGGTTGTTGTAGGATCATTATTGCCAGTGTCAGGGACAGCTGACGATCTGCTGAGAGTGACTCAGGTCAAGAAGGCTCTGCCCTTGCCTACGGCTCCGAGGATTTCAGGAGTGGGACAGGGGCTGCAGTGGCTGAGGTTACGATACGAGTACACAAGGTTGTCTCGGAAAATAGCATGCATATTCAAGAAGCCGAGGGGCACGTATCTGGACAGATAACCGGGGACCGATGAGCCTTCGTGTTGGTTACATTCGGCAAGCAGCGGAGGAAGTTGGCCTGGCACTGCTGCAGAGAAAGAGAGATATAGAGAGAGCGAGACCGAAAATTAGGCAGCACAAATGCATTTATAAACGGAGACCACAACGCGCTTGGAGAGGGAAGATGGACAACTTGAAAACAGCGTGTCTATCGCGTGATCCAAAAAGTTAAAAGTCGACGATGGACCAGGCATTGCAACAGACATGCTGTGGTGGTGTTGCTGGTGTCAGTGGTGGCATAAAGCCCTCTGCCTGAATCAGCCTGCTTCGTAAACAACGTGAAAGGCACGACCGAGAGTTCATCATGCTTGCGGTGGCGTTGAACGGACTCTGCCTTCAGCACCTTGACCCGATGGGTGTCAGGTCGCTGAGCAAGGCCTAAATTGGCTGCAATGATGTGATTTGGATGGTTTGGGTGTTTTTGTGAAAGGCTTGGGTTCGCAGTTTGAAGCGGTACTGCCAACCTTAAGCCTATTCACATGATTCCTGAATACCCGAATCGCATGCCGGCTCCAGGTATGCTTCTTCAGATCTTCGCGCCGATCGTCAGGCGCGACAGCCCAGACGATTCACGAAGTTGTAGGGTCCACATGACTGCATGTGCATGGAAATTTAGTGCAAGCATTTCGGCCTAGATTAGATGGCCAGAGACTCAGCCAGCAACTCGTATAACTCATGGAGTGCTGTTGGGCTGAGATGACATGGACAGCAAAGTGCAAATTGTGCGCAGAGAACCGCGAATCAAAACGATGCTTAGCATATTCATCAGACTGTTTACAAGCATAGTATCACCATTGCCATCGACATGCTATGCTCCTCGAAAGAAGTGCAACCCTGCATGATGATGATAATGATGATAATGGTGATGATGGCAATGGTCATGATAGTGGTGAGGGACCTGATGGCACTGATGGGGAGGTGATGGTTGCATTGCTGTCGATGGTTACTTGATGGTGCGCCGCGTGAGGATGATGATGATGGCAAAGATGATAATGTGGATGTTGGCGATGGTGATTGCAATGACGATGACGACGATGGTCATCATGATGATGACACATAGCTGATGACAGTCCCTGTCGTCACCCGTTGCAAGAAAGCATCAAAGTCGTGTTCTAGGGACTGGAATGAGGCTTTTGTCCCATCGCCTCGTAGCAGGGTTGTAGTGGTCAATATCATACTTGTCAGTTGTCAGACCATTGTACATGCAAGTTGTTGCAAGCTGAGCAACTCGCCTGCGCGAGAAAAGCTTGAAGTGCTTCAGCAGGCTTCTTCTACCGCACGGTCTTGGTAACTTGTGTGAGCTTGATGAAATGCAAGCCACGCTGCATGGAAATGCATCACCCTGCGCATACGGACGGGGTCAGTGCGAGTCAGGTCGTTCTCCAGGCCATCAAGTCGAATGCTCTAGCGCCCCTTGGCCGCGGTAGCAGGCCGAAATTCATTGCTCCGTGCCAGGTATGCTGCGGTGTGCTAGGGGTCATCCAAAAAAGCTAGGCAACGGATGACGAGGGGGCAAAGGTTAGGCTGGAGGATTCGTTGCGGAGACGCCATGCCCACACTTGGTCACTAAGTCGATCCGGAGGGGCTCCTCTTTCCGATCCGAACGGTGCTGCATCGTGCCCTCATTATCCCCATTCATGGCCGCAGATGACCATGACGCAGTCTGAGGTTAGAAAGACTCGGCAGTTTCCGCATTCGTATTTAAGCCTACCAAGTGCTGCAGGCTGTAGCGTCAGTGGACTGTGAATCTCCGCTACAACGACAATTCTGGTGGCCTCAGGCTAGAGCATGCAGACTCGAGGCTGAAGCGCGACAGCGCCACGGCTGCAATGTGGACGTGCGGTGGAGCACTGCTCCTGATGTGCTGATGCCATGGGTCCCAATTCCAAGCCCAGAGCTCTTCCAGCAAAGGCAACGGTCATGGCCAGAAGCCTTGGAACACACTTAGGAGAGATCGTGCTCACCGCGTGCTTGCAGCAACCACACTGTCTTGGCTTCGCTCTGGATTCCGTGACTCGGTCTCGATTCTGGACCCTGATCCCTACATCTGTATCCTTCAGCCTCAAACCCTAAGCTGCCCTAGACCATGCTAGTAACGCTTCTAGAAACTCTTGAGTTTTCAGTGGCGCCGGTTGCAAGCAAAAACTGGGCCCCGTCCTAGACGGTCGGAAGGTCTCGTCCAAGCCTGCGATGCCTCAGCCGAAGGGCCTACGTTAGAACATTGTCTTGGGTTTTTTGATGCTGCAGTGTAATTGTGTAGGGGCTAGAAGCGGATGCTATTTCGAGTTATTCACCCCCGCGAATGCGGAAGCTCTGCACAAAAGCACGTCATGCTGGTTGGCACCGTGAAGAAAGCTCCCCCAATTTACGAGGGCTTGTGTCGTGGGCCATTGCAGTGGCCCGGAGGAATCATCAGCGAGCAATCAGCATCAGTTTGAATCCCTGGAACTCAACAGTCAGTTTCAGTAGATGGAGAGTAGGCCTGGTAGCATGGCTGCACGACTTTGCGTGCTGCTCCAAGCGGCTCCCAATTTCAAGCACGAAATGTGGCTTTCCAGGTCAAGAACGACGACATCTTCATGATTTCTGCCATAGCCAGGCATTGGTTTCAACCGGGGTGCTGTTTGCTTTTGCAACTTGCCTCAAAGTGGCCTTGGTTTCTTGCTGACAGGCAACCAGTGACCCTCCAATATGCTTCCGATCGTTTGAGATCGAACAAGGAGGCCGGAGTGTTGGGGTCGCCTGTTCTAATTTCAATACATTTTTAGCTGTTGCGAGCAGACTTGCATGATTTCGGGCTGCAGCCGCTAGATTCAAACAGACCACTCCGAAGTACTCCGAGACTGGGGTTCCTTGTTATATGTAATTATGGTATAATGGACCCCAAAACCCTCTGCTAGTTATGAAGGCCCGAATATTATGTCCTGAAATCAGCTGGCTCATGGCAACTCTTCGGTCACCATGCTGCAGTCAGCACATATAGGGGGAAAATGTCCTAAACCCCCCTAAACCCCCCTAAACCCGGGTTCACTCTTGCCCAGGTGGTCCTCGGTGCGTTGAAGAGCCAGGGCCTGGAATGAGGGAGGTAAAAGCCAGAAAGTTGGAATATGATTGTCCTAATCCTTCTATGGTAAATTATCGGGTATCTTACCATGAAACCATATTCCAACTTTCTGGAGTTCCCTGTAAGGCCAGCCAGAGGCCATCAAGCACGCCGACCCTACCTTGAGGTGCAGGGAGTTTCCGTAGTCATGTTCCAGCGAGTTTGAGAGGGTGACTTCGGGGGCTGCCTTACTGCAATGTTAAGCCTGGTAAGCAACCTCACTGCCCCAAGCTCGCCACGTTAAACATCCTGAACCAACCGAATCCGAAAGTCTTGAATACATCCTGTCCTGTTCCGCTTATTCGGGATGGGCTCAGGCAACTGTAGTAAAACAACCGCGGTTCCAGGTGCGACGCAGACTTCCTTCGAAGAGCGCTTCAGATGAATCCGGAGCCCATGCTTTGGTGGCGGCATGCTTAAAGTGCATTGAGTCCTCTCCCAATCGTGGGGACTCCCACCAATTCCCGAATTTGAGAATCTCCATGGCCTACGCAGGAGATCTACCCTCACTTGGACGAGCCACTCCGCAGCGATCGAACATTGGTGCCATGACAGCAACCGGCGGCTCCGCACGACCAACCCGGCTCGATGCCTCTAGCCCTCGGCCGCATGCCCTAAATACCGCAAGCTCTGAAGTGTCAGGCAATGGCGGCGATAAGGATCCGCGGCAGCGCGCTGCAACACCTACCGCCGAGCCTCGCAAAGGCCAAGCATGTATGATCTCAGGATGCACTGTAGGGTTGTCGTTCGGTGCCTGGCGCGCTTGCTGTTTTGATGTTGCCAGCTGCCGTGTCTCTAGAGGACCGACATTGGATGATACAGGAAGCTGAAGGAACCTTTCAGGAATTCCTCCTAAATGTCCAGGTGTGCAGCCTTGTCTCTTCCCTAGAAGAAAGTTTGCAACTAACGAAAATCAGAAGGTGCATAATCGTCGCATCGTGACCCCTCTCCTCCCCTCTCGCCATCATCAACATCAACTAGTGCCATGATCACTACCATCATGCTCAGAACCGCCACCAACCTCCCCCTCACGGTCACCATCACCATCACCATCACCTCATGCTCAACATTATCATCATCATCATCATCATCACCATCTTCATCCGCGTCCACATCTTCGTCCTTTTCCTCTTCCTCTGCCTCTCCCGTAATCATGACCACCGTCTCCAGTCTCGTGCTAAGGCTGCGAAGGACGCTCTGCCACCACCCAATATCTGTGTGCAGGACCAAGACCTCATTCTACTTGCAGTGCGGACTTTCCCCAAGGCGGCTGTCTCCAGTCTCCAGAGTTCCACGCAGATCTAGAATTGCCTGGGTTTCGCATTTTTTCTGTGTAGTGTACTCACGAGGAAGTGCCGCTGATTACCTAGTTTCTGGCTGTGGCCCCTGAAGGTCTGCAGCTTTCCAGTTGCATCTGGTTTTTTGAACAAGATCCCGTTTGGGATCCCTCAAAAGAACTGATGCGAATATGCTTCGAGCCCCCCGGCTTGCTTTCAACTTCAAATTCCCTTGCAGGCCTTCTTTTTCGTGCCCGATGCTCTGCAGTCGGACAAGGACCCCTGAGGTGCTCGGTTCTAGAGCAAAGTGAAGCTGCCTGACTCAGGAGTTTATCCTCGCCATGACTTTGCGGAATCCTGAAGTGCTCCAGTGTGTCCCGGAGTCTATGCGCAACGACAGGCGCTTCGTCATGTCGTTGCTGCCCCTTGGCCTGCGAAAGCGTGATGGATCGGTCTGCATTTGCACGCGCCATGCATTCAGAGTCTTCTCGACTTGCTCTACCGCTGCTTTTGCAACTGCTGCCTCTACTGCTACCATGTGCTCCCATTAATACCAACTACACTACAGCTGTTTCAACTTAGCCTCCTTCGGCATCACCATCACCGTTTTCGTCGCCATCTCCATCGTCCTCAGGCTTACCTCCGGCTTCGTCCTGTTGAGTTGTGCCTGTCCCAGGAAAGCTTGCCCTGCCTGTCTGGAGCACATGCCCTACGAGTTTCAGGCCCTTGAGACTGCCCGGGGTTGCCACCTTCAGCTATGAGCCCAAGCCAAAACTCCAGCTCGAAAGCGTCATCAGATTGACGTCGTCAGCCAGGCGGACGCAGAACTGGTCCTTGCTGCGCTGCAATTTGATTCTCAAGCTCTTTGGCGGAGGCTTTGAGGTTTTTCTGCATGCCACTGCTCTAACTTTGCGAGCTGCCCCGATCGCAAGCTCAGGCAGGGGAACTGGCCGAGGACGGGGCGTCCGCTAACCAACCTTAGCAGTACCCCTATCCGTGAACTTAGCAGTATTCTTGTCCGTATGATCATAGTCGCCATAGTTACTATAGTGCCATTAAAGCTCATGAGCCAGGATGACATTATGCCGGAGCAGCCGCGGCCTTCCTGCGACCGAGGTCCCTTCGTGAGAGAGCTACGAACTTCCCCGAGAAAGTTCTGTAAAACTGCACTTTCCGCGGCGGCTGCAGGAATTAGGATAGGAGGGGACATGGCATTTCCTGTCTGATCCCATCTGTGCGGCAAGAGTGCAAAGGGCACGGTCCGCGCGCACATGCGCATTTTGCCTTCGATGCATCCTGCCAAGGCCCAGGTTCCTGTGGCCGCAGCTCCCCGCTCGCCTTCGCGGCCCACGTGCTGCGCAAGAGGCCCAGGCAGCAAGAACCCTCCGAGCCCTCCAGGAGTAGAGCGGCGCAGCAAGAGAACTTGTCCATTCTGAGACGTCTTACAATTGCAAGGTTCAGACAGACAGTTTCTGTTGGCGGCTCTGGCGTTGGACGCAGAAGCCTTGGTGTACGCGTCAGAGGCCACGTCTGGTGGGCTGGGGTAGATGGTTTTTCGAAAACCATCCCGAAGGGTGACCAAGCGCAGAGGAGCACAAGAAGATGATTCGAATAAAGCCGTTCGGAGCGTCAGAGCCGACTCAGCAGAGCATCACAAAGGGCAGATTCTGATTGAAGGCTCTCTCAGCAGCACGGCACATGCGGAAGAGGCATTCCATGTTGACTGCACCGATCGTCAATGGAGTCCGCAGCCCCCCTGTGCCTCAGAAGGGTGCGTATGCGGCATCTTATTCAAGCTCTGGAGCATGGAACCGCTTGAATTCCGAGCCAGGATCTCCGCAGAGATGAAGACTTCGTCCTCGCAGCCGCCCTTCAGCTGCAGCAAAGCGGACATCTCTCCGGCCTAGGGCCTAGACCTAGACGTGGATCTGAGGTGGAGGTAAACGGCCTCGCCCTTTCGGGTGCCCACCCATCGCTGCGGAGCGACGCTGCCTTTGTTCAGCGCGCCCTGCAGGCCTACTCAAGTTCTCAAAGCCGTAGCCAAGCTTGAGTTCTGCTTGTACTTTTATTTAGATCTCAAACGCAGTGGCAGACAACTTTGCCGTGCGAGCCTCCGCACTTCTTCGCACCATATGTGCAGGTCGATGGTCGTGCGCTCATTGCTGTCAACGACCCGCTTAGGGCGGACAAGGAGCTGAAAAGCATTGCAAGATCCAAGGTGTGTAAACGCGGGTAGACATGTCTGAATTGCGACGTGCAGCGGTTTCGTTTCAGCCACTGCAGGACATAGTCCTGGCCGCTGTGACTAGTCGGGGCGATGCTTTGATGTATGCCGCCGACATCTCGCGGGCTGGGGCCCCCGGGGGTTCGGCAGAGCTGGTCTGGCGCTGTTGTGTACCCTAGTGAAGACCAGGCCAGCAGCTCGTTAAACCTGAATTCTTTAGTGAAGAGTCTGGTCGACGGCAACTGCTGCATTCGATTTTGACAAGAACCTAAAATCAAAATAAGCAAAACAACAAGGCTGACAATTGAACTGGTTCTGCAAGCCCAACAGTTGAAGTGGAGGAGGAAGTGGAGTACATCCGACGTCAACAGGTGAGTCCAACAAGAAAGTCGAGACACCCAGCGAGAAAGCTCCGTAGGGAAACCGCTGCTGCCTGCCAAGTTTACATGATATGAACTGGGCATGGAAGTTTGACTGGTTATCGGTGAAGCCACTTATGTAAGCACCTGAAGAAGTGTTTTGCTTGGAGTAGAGCCCGGCAAACACAGCTTCTGTCGGGATGCCCAAGGAGTCTTCGACAATTTCGCGCAAGTCCGTGCACACGAACTGAAGTAAGACTTAAGCTTGGCTGGTGCAGCACTGTGGTAGTGTTGTGGTTTTCGCAATTTCTAGACTTCCGCTATCCAAGTGTCCGTCGAACCGGACAAGCAAAATCCTGCACATGCCCGGCTTGGTCGCAAGCAACACGAGCATGTGTCCAGGCAGACCCGGAGATCGTTCTACGCGCGGTAGAGCGGTGGGCCCCGGCGTGGATGCCCCGGATTCAGTCCATGTCCGGTGAAAGTGTGAAGGAGGATGCATTGATTCCTCTTAGAGACCGAAGATTCGAGGAATCGCTGTGGGAATTGGGTCTTGGAATTTGACGATTGGTCGCATTCAGCGAAGGGCGAAAGATCTGAATCTGTTTTGTGTGAGGACAGACGATAGGGCTGAAGGCCATTGGCAAGCAGTTCAGGATTCAGAAGTATTCCTGTGGTTTGGAGTTTCGGAAATCTGGTTTCCAGTATACCGAAAACCCGTGTCATCGAACGGATCCGATGCAGCGATGTTTGAGCATTGTCGTGCACGGGCACCATCGCATCCTGCGCTTGGGATCTTGTCTCCCTGTTTCCTCGCGGCAACGGGAAACAGCAGCTCAAGCTCTGCCAAAGGGGACACATGTGCGTTAGGTAGCGTCTGAAGGCATGGCTCTTGAGGCCTTGATGTCCAAAGCTTTTCAGAAGTGCTGTCCATGACCTTGGCCTCGAAAGCCAACTTGAGGCTCCGGTTTGCGTCACCAGAGCTTCGAGGGAATCCTTCGGCCCTGACCTCAGCTCGCCAGGATCTGAGAAGTAGGGCTCTCACCTCGCGTGCTCACGACCCAGGGCCCCAAGGCCCCAAGACTCGAAAGGATGCCAAAGCTGAACTCAAAAATGTAGCCGTGGGTTCAGGTCGTCCTCAGTGCCGTCCGAGTGTGGGGAGTGGCCCTGCAGTATGCGCATCCGCAGGCTGTCCTCTGCGAACATGAATCCCAAGTCCAGCAGGGGTCTCTCTGTCTCTGGCGGATTGACCACAATTCTCGCTTGGATGACCCGCCGATGTCCTCAACACTTACAAGAGTCTCAAGATGTATGTGGGTGGGTTTAAGGCATCAGCTTCACTCGTGGACCGTGCACTTGCAGCAAACGCCTGGCGAGGAGATACGTAGCAGTACGTATGCATCGGTGCATGGCTTGTGCGCATCGACCTAGCTGAGGTGCATTGTGAAGTGCCAAAGCAGGGTGTCCTCATGGCGTCTTTGAATTCGAAGCCGAAAGCATGAGTTCTGGGCTTGGTGGATGAGGGTAAATCTTTCGGCCGTTGTTAGAAATCACGGAAGGCTCGGTAAATTCTGCAAGGGTTCTTAACGACCGCAGAAGGTGGGCCTTGCCCGCCTTGTTGTCAAAAGTGCTACGAAGTGTCACGGTCTGGAGTCTGGAGGTGAAGGCGAACAAGACCGTCGTTCTGGAGGCCGTGCATGAAGCTTGAGTCGCTTGAGATTTCCGGTCCGGGACTTGTCGGGTTCTACTGCTCCAGGAATTCTCACGGCAGCAGTTCTTTACGAATTGCATTCATCCAGTCTCCGCGGAAGCGGCCAGGCTGTCAAGAACGATGGCTTGGCTTTGGCTCATGCGGCCCCCGAGTTACGGGACGACAAGGCCAGGAGTTCTCCTTAATTTGGTCACAGCCACAGTCCATTTTGTCCACAATAGCAGTAGCAAGGAGATTGTCGTCGCCGCTGTGAAGCTTTGGGGCGGCGCTCTCGAATCTGCGACTGCACATCTCAGTCGTCCTGTTCATCCACAAAATCTTTTGCTTTTTGAAGCTTCTTCGGGCTTGGTGTGCTGGCTGTTTGAGCAGCAGCAGCCATGTGTGCCAGAGCCAACCTTCAATCTTGATCCGTGTCGCTCCCGACTAACGAAACTCGAGGAGAACGCATCTCCACGGCTTCGTGCAGACAAAGGCGCCTGACCCGACTTGTACCTGGTTGATCTGTTCTGATGACTGTGCTTGAACATGCAGCATATCACCCGCAGAAGCAAGTGAATAGTCACCACACAGTTCGAGACAATCCCATCGCTCTGTAGCTTTGCAGATGGACGGCCTTTGGCCTCAGGCCAACACTGCGGTCAGCATCAGCAGCGGCATCCGTCATTGCTTCCGTAGGTGTTAAATGGATGGGAGAGAGCCCCAGCAGCACTGGCATCCAGAAATGCACCAAGAAACATGTTTGAGCATCGTCAGTGTGATCGCAAGTGGTCGGAAAGCTCCAACTGCAGCTCGATCAGCGGAAACCAAGTCGAGCATCATCAGCATCATAGCCCCTTATCTTTGCAGGAGGGTGTTCGCACAAAGGCGGTGCCAGCATCAGTGGCATCCGTGGAGACATCGTCGAGCGTTCTGCTTTCGGGTGGAAAGGCGGTAGCTAGGGTAGAGAGGCGCCAGACGCAGCAGCAAGAAACTCTATGAGACTGTGATACTTACCGGATTGCAGACACGCTCGAGCATCATCAGCATCGTGGCCTTCTGTCTTTCCCTTCCACCACCGGGACCCGGTGGGACGCTTCAGCAGGATCATCCGCTCACTTGCTTTGGGTATGTGAGGGAAGTCACCGGCAGCACCTGCATCGGCACCGGACACTCGGAGACAGCGTCAATCATCAGCATCATCACCAAGTGGCTTCGCCTCGGCAATCAAGCCGGTGCCAGCACTAGCAGCAGGACTCTGCAGCCACTGGCGAAAGCAAAGTTAAGCAGTATCAGAATTGGCCCGTGTTGGCTAGGAAGGACTGAGTGGCCAGCATCAGCGGCATCATCCGGCCGCTGCTTTTGCAGTGGCTGCCGCACTGCCACGCCGGCCAGCGAGCATCATCGGCATCATCGCCCAGCGGCTTTACCGGTGGATGGCCTTATGCCAACTGTCAAAACATAGGTGCGGGTATCAGAAGCCCCATAACTCTTTTTTGAAGAGGCACTGTGATACTTGATGCATACCGGATTCGCACGTGGAAGGCGTTGCCCGAAGCGCTGGCATTCCGCACCAACACACCAAGCATCAGCAACGCCCAGCGCTGGCATTTCATGATTCTGCAAGAAGTCACGAAAGCTAGCTCTGTGGAGCTCGCGGGAGTTGCCCTTTAGCAATTCACTTGTATTAAGGCACTAGGGAAAAAACAGGGTTTGCACCTTATCAGTGTGACCCCACGAGTTAAGGTGGGGGGTAGGGGGGGGGGAGGGCCCCCCCCCCCTTCACCTTGTCATTGTGCGTTTTCCACTGATAAGGTGCGCTTCCCTCCCCCCCCCCTCCCCCCCTCCTTTAAGGTGGTTGTGCCTGGGATAAGGTGGAGGGGGGGGCCCCCCCCCCCTATCATGAGGTCCCCCCCCTCCCCCCCCTCCTCAAGGTCCCTTGGTTTTGTTTGTGTCTGACGTTCGGCGACTGAAGTGCGGTCTTCTCTCCAGAGTTACCTCTAGTTGTCGTTCGCACATTGCTTTCTCAAGAGTTAAATGAACGAGCAACGCCTGCACCCTTCACCGGCCCAAACTTTCCCTCCGCTACTGTCGTGCACATCGCTTTGCAGAGCTCAGCACCGGACCTCGTGCTTCTAGCTTTCGTGACCAGCTCTCAAGTACCACGACGTGTCGAGTCTAGTCGATCCTATGGACGACACATGCTTCAGCCTCGCAGTTAATAAGATCGGTTCGTGTAGGAGAAGGAGCTTTCCTCGGGTTACTCTACTTGCACGAGAATGTTGCAGGTGTGGTGCTGGCAGCTGTACTTGGATGTGGGGTTGCCCTGCGTTATGCAGCCGCGGTCTTGGCAAAGTCCGCTTTGGCATCTGCGCTTCTTGCAGTGCCATTGAAACCTCTTGGCTGAGGATGAGACCTTACAGGCCGACAAGGAGGGGGCTGGGGCTAGAGTTGCTGGGGATGCAAGCTGCGTGTTGCTGCAAGCTTCCTGATGGCCGCCCCTTATGATGACGTGCTGGGAACCTGTGAATCTGTGAACTGCAGGTACTGCAGTCTTGCTTGCTGTATCTTGTACTGCCGCTGATGTGCTGGGCAAATGGATATTGATGCTGCCAAGTTGCATGTGTGCCCCACCTCTAATTCCTGGTGTCGCCCCAGGAAGTTGTTCTCGCCGCAGTGGCAAACGATGGTCAGAAGCTCGACTCTTCACACCGAGTGAGATCACTGTCCTGCCTCCTTGCTTCCCCAAAAGAGCAGTCCATAGCCCCATCAGCCTCGCAACACATGCCGTTTGCATTGGAGACCGATGGCTAGTCAGTGCTGGCCTCTTCCTGAGCCTCCAGGGCATAGCCCAGGCTTTCTGCAAACGAAGCCCTAAAGTCTTGAAAATCCCTTGCGAAGCCTGGTGCCAAAGGTCTGGCGCTCTTCCACGCCGGACCGGAGCTCCGCGGAGATCGCTCCGTCGTTGCGAGAGCGATCAAGAGCTGCTCATCTTACAGTATATTTCAGTAGGTTACAGTATCTTATGGTTACAATATACTACAGTATGTTATAGTATCTTATGGTTTGTGATGGTATATCATGATCGCCGCCGGTGCGAGGCAGTTATTTTTTTGGGTTGAGGCTTTCAGAGCTGAGTGATCGGGAGTTCGAGGTTGCATTTTCATAGCCGCGAGTTTGCATGTTCCTTCGGTCGGGCCAAGCTGTAATGGCCAGGATCTCTGAAGCCCCAAACCAGCGCAAACCGTAGCCCCAAAGGCCAACTATAGAACGCAGCGACAGAAGCTCTCGCCTTAAGTGCGCAAGGCTGCATCAACTCGAAGTTTGTAAGCATAGCATTTGCACTCTCTTCTGGGGATCCCTCTGACTCTTTCACCAGAGCGCAAAAGAACGATTTTTGCGTAAAGTTGGCACAGCTTCAAGGATTGACCACCTGATGTCTAGAAAATTGTCTTCCACGTGGTCATGAAGCTGTCTGACCTGGCATGGCGCGGCATAGCTATCTTTGGCTTTGACTGCCAGCATCTGCCAGCTTGTTGAGGCCATGGATCGTCTCTTGCAGGAGCAGCACACGAGCTTCGAGAGGACAAGGCATCTGCATGGCACACCCTGCATCGTGTGGAGATGTGCAGAGCCTTTAAGTCGCTGCTTGCCACAAAGACGACGAATTTTTGAATGACCTTTGAAACGAGGGCCTGGTGCTCACCGCCGTGGCCAAGCGCGGCGAGGCTCTGCGCTACGCAGCTGAGGCCCTGAGAGGCCGGCTCACGCCGCACTACTGAGACGACACCTGTACCTACCTGTTACCCACCACCACCACCACCACCACCACCACCACCACCACCACCACCACCACCACCACCACCACCACCACCACCACCACCACCACCACCACCACCACCACCACCGCTACCACCAGCACTACCACCGTGGCCGGTACCCTGATGTTGAAGAAGAGCAGCATCATCTACTTCTTCGTCGGAAAGTTCTATTTCCTGCCCCGCATCTACTTCTTCACCCGCTCGTTGAGCTGCTGTGATTGGTACTGTCGGTAGCTACCCAGTCTTAACGGTCGAACCAGTTCCGTAGTCGTACTCCTTACTGCCACTACCACGACTACGACTACCAACAACACCACTACTACCAAGACGAAGCTCTTCACGCTTCAACACTGTTCGCCCGGTATATAGTCGTCTTTACACCTGCAGAGGTGACGAGGAAGTTGTTCTTTGCGCAGCGAGGCTATGCGAGTGGCGTTTTCAGGGCTGAGGTTTCCTTGCATGAGCAATGTTCTTCACTTCATATGCAGGAACACAACCCCCCCTCCGTCCCCCGTTCCAAAGACCTGAGCCCCAGCCTCCGTAATAAGAGTCCGGATCAAAAGCCCCCACTAACTTCAGAAGCTTGGTAAGAGTCCAGAAGCCAGACGTGTCACAGCCCTGCGTACCGCCCCAGAGAACCCTAGGAGCCTCAAGGCCCTTACAGTCCGTTGAGTTTTCATCTGTATAAACAAGATTCTGCTTACCTTTTTGTCCGCTCGGTCCGCTTGGATCTGCAAATAAGGGCGGGGTTTCCAATTACATTCTGGGAATTGGATTTTGCAACTGCGCGGGGGATTCCAGAAGGGAGGTTGACATTGCAGAGATGTGCTCGGTGCCTCAAGGTCGTTTATGTACCAAATTGCATGGACAGCCTAAAGCTTGTCGAACTGCACAAACTCCCACATCTTTCAAGAAAGATGCAATGCCGTGCTCGTTCAAGGTACGGACGCCTGAATTCCTGCTTTCTGGAAAGCCGAAGACACGATTGAACGAATAGTCATGTGTCGCATACTGACCCAATATCCTGAATTTTTCGGAAGAAGCCGTCGGCTCTGAGCTGGTACTCACGAAACCAGAATCCCTGAACCGCAACTCCTCCCTGAGGGAAGGGGTCGATCAAAGAGATCGAATCCCCCAGCTCCGTTATTATATATATATATATATATATATAGTTATATAGTAGATATTATATGATATGTAGTGTATAGCTACTATATAACTGGTAGTACAATATGTAGTTAATATCCTTGGCAGTCGCTCTTCTCAGTTCTGCAAATGCCACGTTGACGTCGTTGCCATCATAGACATCGCCATCAGTGCTATTGTCGTCGCTCGAGGCAGTATCAGCCTTACTGATTGTCTCGACAGGTTGTTTGTTTGTTATAGTTGCTGCTGCGTGTTGAAGCTATTGTTGTCAGCACACCCCCATCGGCATCAGCATCAACATCCTTGTTACCATCGTAACGCTATTTCCCAACCATCGTTCCCATGTTACCGCGGTTGCCGCACGTCCTCGTTGAACCTGCCAGAACCTGGGGCTCTGCCTTGAGCTGGGCCTCGCCGGCGCTGAGGCGGCGGAAGGCCCTCGGAGTCCGGTCAGCCAAAAGGGTCAATAACTAGAAAAGGGTATTGGGGCCCATTATGCTGCAATTTTACTAAGGAACCCTCAAAATAGTATTGGGTCTCAAGAAGCTTTGATTGAGGAGGTCTTCGGACCTATGGAATCGGGCATTCTCTTTTCTCCTTAGGGTCTTCGTACGGTTGGGACGCAGCTCGGAACCGGTTGGGCTTCCGAGTTTTAAGTCTTCATGATTCTGGGCTGCAGCGGTTCAGGGGCTTGTCTTTGCAATGCAGGTTCGGACTTTGCTCCAGAATTCAGTCCTCAGTCTTGCAGTCGCTATCGCCTCCGTAAGTCTTGAGGACCATCAGGACACACCTGCTAGCAGCGGCGCTTTGCACCTCCGGACTCCGGCCTTTCCCTTTAATCCTCTTGATTGCGAGATTTCTTCAACCAGGGGTGGCTTTTTGCGATCACTGCGACAAGGATCCCTTCCAACAAGGATTTTGGATCGGTAGCAGCACCCAAAAAACCGAAGTCACAAACCCTAAACCCTGCTGGGAGCAGAGCAATTGCTCCTGTCTCCTGGTCCCGGACCATTCGTCCACAGCCCTGTTCTGCAGGCAGAAAAACGGGTTCAAGAAAGCCCTGAATCCTGAACGCTGCACTGTGTTCAGGTTTTCCGTTATCCGTTGGTATCCCCCTACCTCCGCCAACATGGCATTCTGAACACTAGTGATAGCAGGCGGAAAGAGGGACTCAAAACACAAGAACCCTGACCCCCCCTCATAAAGAAACCCGTGCAAAACAGCACAAAACCGCGATGCAGCGTTTATGCACTTAGGGTTCCTTTTTCTCAGGACTTCCTTTGCCGGATCATGGAGGCGCACTTTGCGACAGAGCGTGCGGTGAGCCCAACAGACAGAGGCCGGACCTGAGCGCTCCGATATGCAAGTTTCCGAAAATTAGGGGGGGTACCTTCTCCTGGGTCCTTATAATAATGAAGAAGCGATTATTTAGGGTGCTATATGGGTCCCCTATTTTCGGCAACTCCCATATGCGTACTGATGAGACTAGTCGATGTTCAAAATTAAAACCGACCTGTGGCATGACAATATACGTATAGAGAACACACAAGGAACAAACCAAGCGAACATGAATAGGTCAGGTTTACAGGTTTGCATGCTTTTCGCTGGTACATTGTTATGGAGCATGTGTGCGAGTCGCAGTGGCAGCATGTACCGCCACCGCGTGACTTTCCAGGCTGGCAGAGTCTGCGCCTTTGAGTGCACCCCACGGAAGAGCACATGACCATGTGATTTGCTGTGGATGTCATCGACGAAGGATTGTTGTGCTGTACACTGTCGTCACTGTAAGTATCAGGGACTGTTTCGTGTTCGTTGAATCTACTGGTCGAGAGAATGGACGGCTCACCAAAGTGTGCCGGAATACGCTTACCCGGGCAAACCTCTGTACAGTTGCCGTGTTTCACTGGGAGAAAGGGAGCGAGGAAGCATGCGATGTCACAGTAGCAGCGATGCTAACAGGAGAACGAAGGACATGCAGCAAATGGAAGGTATTCATCATGAGTGTCCGAGATGAGAGCAATGGGAAAGCAGACATGTTGAGAAGTATTTGCGGCATCGGTGATCAGCACAGCAGCACTCCTACAACAATCTGTCCAGAGAAATGGTTCTGCCATAGATTTTCATCGGTATCGTGGGCTCAGCCTGAAGCCCTGTTTCGATTCAAGATTTTACTTTGCCCTTGGCTTGCTATTCTGGCTTCACAGGAGAAGGCAATGTGACACTGCGCCGGTAGAGTAGTGGCCCGCCTGAGGGAGGACCCACACTATGGAAACTACCAGAGCCAGTTCTTACTGAAAACAGCCATGCGGTATGATGCTAGGAGCCTGACGTCATGCTATGCAGCGAAAAGCTAGAACAACTCCTTGAGATCAATCAAAAGTGTAATCAAAAGCGTACTTGTGTTTCACAGCCATGGCGCCGTCCTTGGAGGCCTGATACTGCGCATGGCTATGAGATTCCTTGGCTTTGCAACCGCTATATCTTGGTTTGGCGTGGCATAGAATTATAAATCGGATCCAATACGTGTAGCGTGCCAGCGAGAGAGAGAGAGAGAGAGAGAGAGAGAGAGAGACAGAGCAAACCGAGTAGTACACTGCCGTAGTCTGGACTAACCCCGATACCGGCCACTCACTAACACAGAGGGTGGGCCGGGCGGGCCTAAGGCCTGGGGGGCGCATGCGACCCCTACGCCCTGCAGAAAGAAAGAAAGAAAGAGAGAGAGAGAGAGAGAGTAGCCATTTTGGCTCAAGTGTCCGCACCTTTGCCTTGGGGGGCTGTAAACCCTCCTCGGTACGGGGGGGGAGGCACGCGGATGGCCTGTGGCTGTACACCACAGGAGAGCCGTGTTGCCTTTCCCTGCGGCGCTTGAGTCCCACGCCGCAGCTCGTCTTGCTTAAGAGGCCCCAGGGGTTTTCGCTCACCGGACCCCCTGGCCCCTGACCACGGCCCTCCTTCGGGGGGTGGCCCGTCAGTAGGGGGGGACGGGCATACTACCTCATCGCGGTACACAGGGAGATCCTGCCGAACTACCTCGACATTACCAAGTATGTCAAGCTCAGCATCCCGACCCAAACCGGGGGGAGATGCAGCCCCAGCCAGGGGGAGAAGCCGTGTTCAGCGAGAACCGGAAGATAAGCCAGCGAAGACCAAAACCACCTGGCAAGAGCAGTGTGCACTAGCAGAAAGACTGCGGGGGATGGGCGTTACCTGCAGAGCCTGCTTGGAAGGCCCCTTCTACCACAAATCCCACGACAGCGGGAGCACTTGCTACAGGCAGCAAGTAGCGACCGGGGGGATCGCAAGCATAGCGGCACCCAGCGACATGCGCAAGCTGAAGGAGAAGGAGGCCGACGAGCACGACCTGTACCAACCTAGAGGCGGAGGCGGGGGATCCTGCCAAGTGGCGAGGAAAACAAGACCCTACGAGGAATATGTGCGCTTTGAGAGCGAGCAGAGGGTGGCACTACTCTACGAGCCGGACCCACTTGACAAATGGATGGGGAGAGATGTCCAGAAGAACTGGCGAAAGGGGAACTTCTACGACCTCGCCACGGGGGAGATCCTTACTGAAGGCGACGCGCAAGAATGGCAGCACTACGTCCAGCGGCATAACGCCAGAAGGGAGACGGGGCGCCAAGCCGATAAGCTGGTCGCTATCGTCAAGAAGGGGAACCCCAAGGTGATGCAAGAACTGCTGCTCTACATTGCCAAGCACCCTTGGAAAGTCGGGGGACTCCTGAGCCAAGCCAGGCAGGAGTTCAAAGACAAGCCGGAGCCGATAACAACGACAGAGGAGGAAAGGGAGGCGAAGAAGGCGAAGAAGGAGAAGAAGTACAAGGAGAATGCCAAGACCAAGAAGGACAAAAAAGAGAAGAAGGCTAAAAAGCTGCGTGGGGGAAGCCAACGAAGCCATGCGACAAAGGAGGGGACCGGCGACACACCAACAGCCGGCTCAGCAGCAGCGGGGAGTGGCACAGCTCGACCAGAAAGCCGGGGGAAGGACCGGCCACAAGCAACAGCCACCATCTTCGAGGAAGACGAGGTCGACTGGGGAAGCAACGAAGACAGCAGCCAAAAGAAGGACACGACGCCACCACTGGGGGGAAAGAAGCCGCCAACTCCCAGAAGCCCGCGAAGTACACCAGCTAGCTCCAATGATAGGGGGGCGCTCAGGCCGAAGACACCGAGCCACAGCCCAAGACGACGACGACGCCGGGAAGAAAGAACCCAGAAAAAGCCGCCACAGGGGGAGCGGCCAGACCCAGGACACCGAGCCGCAGTCCCAAAAGAGCTCGACTGGTGCCCGGGCCCACATGGCGAGCCGTACGACGAGTACAAGCGCACATGCGCGGGGAGGACAGCGAGACCTACAAGCAGTGAGCGTGTGGGAAATTTTCCGAACCGACCTGAGGGTCACTCCTTTTCCCTTTTCTATAGCCTGCGAAGTTCAGCTTAATTCGTGACGGGCCGCTGGAGCCATACAACCCAATTGCCGATGGAGCCACACGCTCCGGTTTTGCACCTGCACAAAATTGGCGCTGTGATAGAGACCTGCCGTTCTGAACACCGCTTTGAATAGGAGCCTAGATGTCCTGCGGGGGAACCCAACGGGGGGGACCACCAATGCCTACTGTTGCCGACTGCTACACTACCTCTCGAATGGGGAACCCGCCGTCTTCGTTACCTGCACGGTCCTGGTTTACTGTTTTCTGTTGTTGCTTCTTACTTGCAAGGCAGGGGACCCTACGTACAACACTTTGGCCGAAAGGGGAACGCAACTTTACTTGTGACAAGCTGTTTGCGCATTGCGTACCCTGCACTCCTTAAAGTCCTGCACTTAGTTGGGTTCGGTTGTGTTGTTGTACTCGGGGAGTGCTCACCGGCCGCGGCGATTGCGTGGGGGAAGCATGGCTGGCGAGGGGCTAAGGAACTTGCTTAAGAGAGCGCGGGGATGAGGCCGGGACGCGCGATAGAGTAAAGGGAGGGTCGGGTCCATCGCCAGCCACACTTCACCAGCCACACCAACCGCTAGTACGTAGTTGCCGACCGCTGAAAACCCCAAAGCCTCTTCCACCGCCAAAACGGGGAAGGGGGGGCCTAGGCCCGGGTTCGCGTGCGAACCCATCCCCAGTGAAGTGAAGTGAAATGAAGAGAGAGAGAGAGAGAGAGAGAGAGAGAGAGAGACACGGCGCCTCGTTCCGGCGACGACGTGTCACGCAGAATGCCAGACCGGTGCGCACACGTGCGCGGAGGCCTCGTGCCTCTTGTCGGAGTGCAAGCAAGAGAGACACAGGTCTTGTGCTGAGAGCACGTTTAGTGTTGTAGGCAGGTACCAGAACTCGGCAGCTTCAGGCAGTGCAGGGCAGGCGATGTCGGGGGCGAAAAACCGTCCCGTAACCGGCAACATGTGGGCACTCGGGGCGATGATAGCACTTTCGGTCATCGAAGATAAGTCTCGTGTTCTTCAGAGTGCCACATGTCCCGTAAGCTAGCCTTTCGCACTTAGTGCAGTGCGTCCAGCCAACCACATGCCCCTCAAGCCTGGCGAAAGAAAGAGAGAGTTCCCACACAACAAAACGCCAAAGTGCCAGCGAGACAGGGACAGAGAGCGAGAGACAGCGAGCTAGAGAGAGAGAGCTAAAGAGAGCTAGAGAACTGCAGCCGCCAGGATGACTTCGGGGGCAGCCTGTTTGAGGACGGCCTGAAAAGCACTGGGCCGGGAGATGTTGAAGCCAGATGTCCCAGTAGCCGAGCAGTCGCAGTTTTGCATCTTTCGGTATTGGGCCCTGGAGATCAGCGTTTGGCAAGTTGCACTTCGGAAAGCCATCCACCTCTTCTCAAGAAACCGATGGTGCACGAGAAAGCACTCGAGCAACACATCTGAAGAGACAGTTGTTGTGACAGTTGCGACCGAAAGCGTAGCCCTCCGGTCAAGTTCAGTCCACGAGTGACGCATGCATCCACAGGCAAGCCTGGAAGCGTTTGGAGTCCTCTTCAGGAGGCCAAAACGATGTCTCAGATGAAGCGAAGTCGCATCGATCTGACCAGACGGCAACTTGGACGCAGCTGGTTTCGACAGAAGCAGTGGAGGTATGGGCAGAGACTAATTATCCAGGCAAGATTGTGCCAACCTCTGATTCGCAACGGCTGCCCTCAGCCTTTGAGGTACGTTTTCCTGTGTCCTACAGCTCTTAGCAAGCACTTCCAGGCGTGTGCTCCATGTTTCTTCCTGCTTCGGGGAAGCCGCAAGTCAAGTCTCATAGCTTTCCCAGCCAGATGACATGATTAGAAGTCTGAGTCTGAGAGGAGGGGAGGGTTCCAAGGGAAAGCGAGGCCAGGCAGCGCCTTCCAGTGTGAGTCATATCTTCGAGAGCACCTTGTTGGAAAGACTGCGCAAACTTCTTTGGACAGGTGTTAGAAGCATCGCTCCGAGCCGAGCAGTCAATTACCCCCAGAGTCTGAAAGCTTCAAAAGTGTTGCAGGAATACCCAAAACTGTAGAGCCTTGACACCTCCACAAGCCGAAAGGCCATTGATTGGAATTGATCATCAACATGCGCAGTGCTCTCCCACGTAGGCGCTGCCGCTGGCGGCCAAGGAGTCGTCACTTCTCGTTTTTCGATGTGCGCGGAGTTTCGCGGGGTCCCTGGTCGATAAGTGGTTGCAGGAAGGGTGATGGCGATCCATGTCTCAATCTTG